CATACCTACCTACCTACTAAAACTTCTAATTAAAACACAACTCTCAATTTCAAATGCAAAATTAAAAGTAAGATTGCAAATTAAATACTATTTAGGTTTAGTTCAGGATTACGTGAATTGACATCATTTCATGATGATCTTATCCAAAATTTTAATTTCTTTTTTCGGTAATTTTTTATCGTGAAATATATTTTATATTATCGTTTAATATTCGAGTGTGAGTTATATCGTGAAATATTATTTCATAATTACACGATAATATACTTGAATACGCTATAACTTGGACCTTTTCAAGGCGAGAGTGAATAGGCATTATTTAGGTGAGATGGAGGTTAACTGCGCACATTTTTTATAAAAAAAAGAATATTTAAATAATGAAAATTGCCACGGAAATTAGATAATTAACACTAGTCTTAGAATGACCGTTTTATGATATCAAGCAACGAGACGAACTAGTTGTGCACCTGGTGGTAAACGAATAGCTTATCCATGGCAGTTGCACTGCTACTCAGAGCTTTAAATCGCTGAAGAGCGCTGCCAATGCGCCCGTCACCCTGAGGCATAAGTTGAGACGTCCCATGTGCTTGCAATTTCACCAGCACCCATACCCTTCTAAATCGGAACGCCGTAATGCTCACATTATTGCTTGACAAAATTTAAATTACCTATCATCGTAGTTTTCTTTATGGTAATTATCATAATAGTCTCCATAGAATACTTTGTAAGTCTCCGGGGTTATATCCATAGTGATACTTCTCAATGCCATTCCTATGTCTAAATGAATGCATTTGGTTATTTTATTGGGTCGCACTACATTGTAGAACATGGCTAGAAAAATAGAACATAATCCATCAATAAGTTCATCCAGCTATCTGCGCTACGTAGCGTTATATAGTGCTATGTAAGGTTATTTAGCGCTATTTTGGGTTATTTGTAGAGACCTATCAGGACAATATTACTAACATCATAACCAACAACTTTTGTGCCATATCTTTGAATAATTTTACAGATTTTACTTTCGTACAATCGCTCTAAATAATAATAATAACGCACACACTCAACATAGTTCCGAATTCGAGAAATGACGGTCCGAAATGTCACATTCGCATTGTTCTTGGATTCCAATAGGACTTAGTGCACAAGCGACATCCGAAGTTCGGATTCGGAACGAATACGAATCGGATGCAGTGCGCAAACGCGCTGAATACCAGTCCGATGCAAAACGCAGGAACGGGGTTGGGGGTCGTCGAGGAGGACGATTGCACGTTTGAACTTTCTGCCATACTACAGATCTAAAAAGAGTCAGATAGTACAACGAAAACTTAAAAGTCTATCCTGGTAAATCTATTATGATTTGTTAAAAGTCATGGAACAAAAGTTGTTGTTTATGATGTTAGTAATATAGTCCAGCGAGGTTATTAAATTTTTACAAATAACCCAGCATAGCGTACAAAAGCCAAAAATCTGTATTCTAGACTGAACCGCTTACCCAACTCGCCTCCCATGGAATGAGTTATAACAACAAATTGTTTCCATCCTAAATGTTGGACTACAAAATCCATAGCCGAAACAAAATGTAATCGCATTAATTTTATACCTGAAAGAGAAAATAAGATATTACATACAATAAAATCTTATTCTCTATTGATCGGTGCGTGTATCATTTGTAGTTTTGTATAAAAATTTTAACTGGAATTTCTGTAGTCTTTGTATAATAGTGTATAATTGTGGTGAGTGAGGTGGTTTCTTAATTATATACTTAATTAGAAACTGCATACTGCGGTGTCTACAGCGACAATTATATTTGAGTTGTACTTTACATTATATACAAGGTGAAGCCTGAAAGCCAGCAAATTACTACAGCTGAGGCTGTTACCTTTTCTACAACACAGAATTATATTTTAAGCCACTATTTTAAGTTTTTATGTATCGTTGTAGTGTTGAAGAATAAAGTCTTTATTTTTTTTATATAATAATAATAATGCACGCACTCATAGCCCCGCACTAGGGAAACCCTGTATCACAGGTGCCGTGGTCACGCACGTAATGTCTATGTGAATTACACCCAAACTCATGGTAGAAATAAATGTAGGCCATACTAATATTTCTCCCGGCTTTGGAATCAAACCCGTGACCTCTGCGTGGCAAACATGCATGGTAACCGTTCGGCCACATTTGGGTTTAGGTAATACACTCCGTCCGTCAGAGAATGACCGACAAATTAGTCTGGTTATTAATATTTTTAGGCGACTTCAAAAAAAGGAGGATGTTCTGAATTCGACTGTATTTTACTGACTGTACTTTTTATTTGTATGTATGTTACGTGATAATTAATTTGCGAACCGATTTTAATGGCTCTTTTTTTATTATATATTGGAAAGAGGGTACCTCAGATGTGGTCCCATTTAAATTTGAAGAAAATATTCCATCTCTAAGGGTGGCAAACTAGGGGATGAATGACTTTTGAGGTCGGTTTTTTTTGTACTCCGTACTGTTTTTACAAATATCCTTTTTGGAGGAAATTGTCCAGCGCTTCCAAAATCGTATACTAAAGACCATAGTGCAATCACCTTGGTTTGTAAGAGCCCAGGAAATACGTGATTACCTTGAAGTGTCACCTATCAAACTGCAGATGAAAGGAAATATAACCTATAAGTAATTCACGACTGTCAGTGCCACAGCACAATAAATACAGTAGAAGTGATTAGTTTACGTGTCACGCGCGCCAACAGTACGCAAAGTTCTACAATTCGTCGTTTCGATCTGTCTGAAACACCTTTCTAACAAAAGTGTTGAATGGAAATTAAACTAATTTTTTTGCATCTAAATCGTGTACATTTGTTTTTCAAACAATAAACTTTTCAGGCATTTACAGATCACTGACTCAGTGGGACTGTATTCAAATTAACATCCGTAAAATAAAACTAAATTCCAGAAAAAGATTACTTCTAGAAAAAAAACTAAGCACGTAGAAAAATTTGTAAGGTCTGCTGGTTCGTTCCGTAGCTAAGTTGGGAGAGCGTCAGCCATGGTATGCTGAAATCGCTGGTTTTCTTAGTGTTCGATCTTTGTATTAATTATTATAACAAATTAGTGGAGTAATTTCACAAAATATAATTGAATATTAATATAAACTTATTAATACCTACTAAAATCCTAACAAATTGCCGACAGCGTAAATAAAAAAAATTACCAATAGGAAACGGATCTGACTTTCCATGTCCAGGTAAATCAAAAGCTACGTAGTGACACTTCTCTGGTAGTTTATTCAACAATGGTATAAATGTTGAGAGACTATCCTGTCGTCCGTGGATTAACAACACTGGTTTTCCTTTGGGATTTCCCCAGGACATTACTGAAAGAGAAAAGAGAACCATTACTTTTTTTTACATGCCACACAATTACACTAGAGCATAGTTTCCCAAAGTGGTCCCTACCTACTACACTAGGGGGGTATGTGCCTCGGACGCAATTGGTGCTGGTACTGTCCAGGGGGTGCTACTGCATTTGAAAAAAAATCCTTAATTATTTATATAAACTACACTACATTTTTTTTCTTATGATAGTTAATATAAACATTTTTGTGGTGGTGGGCATTAAAATTTTTTTATCTTGCCTAAGTGGGCGATGAGCCAAAAAAATTATGCACTACAGTAATGAAAGTAACTCTGGTGGCCCTACGTAGTACATTCAGATTTAAATTTGTTTCCTAAATAAGCATTGATCCTATTAGATATCCTGCGGTCCATCCAGCCGCTGTGGAGTTTTGAGATATGCAGAGACACTTTGGGGTCGAGATGTGAGCGAGCCAACAGCTCCGACGTCAAAGCAGAAATTTGATAGTTGAATTTAGATTAACGACTTAGCCATGGCAGCTGCTAATTGGTGCAATGGGAGTCAACAACTAAAATACCTATCTGGATAATAAGGACAGTGCTGTACGTGCACCTAGAGTTGCTCATCCAAGGCACTAGCCTTTTCAGCACCGGATGATTAGTAAACACGCTGGGTCAGGACCTCACTGTGGACCTCAAAGTTGTTTCAACCGTCGCTATACTCAGAAATCTATTTTTGGACCACTCGTTTCGCTCATGGTTCAATCTTAGCTTCCTTCGGTTGCTCAGGCTTCAACACAAGCAGTCGCGTCAAACAACAACTTTGCAGATTTGCATAAGAAATAACTATTGTATTTAGTTATGTGTGTGAAATATTCATTATTGTTCTTTAATTTTTAATTTTTACGGTATGTAGAAATGAATTCCGGCGTCATTGTTAAAATCGATGGAGCCATTATAAAGAAATTGGAATTTGATAGTGGCACAAATAGTCATCAGAACGAAAGAGGTATGTAATTATTTGAATGTGCATTATATTGTGAGCTTTGTACAAGCCTAATAATTACCTATACAAATAAATAAGAATAAATAGGTATTTAAGATACTCACATGCAATATTGCCCCAAGGCGCTTTTACAGACCATTCCTTTAGAGGTTTCATTGTTTTTTAAATTTAATTAAATAATAATTAAGACTTTTATCCAAATACGTACTTCGAACTCGCTTTCAGTGTATACTATAAGCAAAAGATACTGTACGTATGAAACGAATGTTCTTTCAGTGAAAATGAAGTTAGTTTTTGACAATCAGCTGTTTCTACTCCCTTTTCTGTTTTTTTCCTTTCGGCAAGGCAAAGGCCTATAGGCCATGCAGCTTACTTTTTTGTTTTAAAGTCATTTCTAATATTCTTCCACTTTGAAAATGACCCATTATCTTATACTGGACTATACTAGTCCATTATGTAGCGAATATGTCAGATCATAGCAGGTTTGCGCATACACAAAGCATAATATACACATCCCCAACCAACACACACGGCCTACAATATTCACCAATGAATAGATTTTATTTTCGTACGACTTGCGTACGACAAGATTCGCTCTGGGCCTTTTGGAGGGAAAAATGTAGTTTTTATTTTGACTTTCAATTATTTTGTGAAATCTAGTTTAAAGTGGAATAGGATAGTGCTATTATGCCTTAATCGAAGATTAAAACGCGAAATTATACGAATCTTGAACTAAAATACCCGTATCTGCCCGTTCTAAGGAATCCCGAGCCAATCCAAGCACGCGCCGCCTCAAATTGCCTATCCCTTTGTGGCGGCCATATTTACAGAAATATAATTAAACGAAGACATGGCTCAAAAGACTTAATAATGTACCAAGACTTGGCTGTATGGTGTAAAACCTTTGCCTTTTCCTTTATGGAAAGAAGAAAAAAAAATTATAATTAAATTGCGTACGACACGACAATCAAATTAACTTCAACTTCAACTTTTGTGTCTATGGCTCCGTCGTTTTGCGCGACGATTTTGCCAATGTCAGGGTTGAGAGACATGTGTAAAAGTTTTTATTAAAGGCCACACCAAAAAACGTCAATGTCAAATCGTGCTCGACTGAAGTTGACTGCCACATCAACTGTCATTTGCTTAGCTTACGTTCGCTTTCATTGTCGGTGGCGCTTACCATATAAAGATTTTTTACAGTTCTTCTACGTTTACTCATAGAATCATATTAAAATGCGTAACGTAGAAATAAAAGCAAAGATTGCCGATTTGGATAGAATATGCCAAATCGCCGAAAAACTGAGTGGTGGACAGGCAACAATCATAAAACAAGAAGATAACTTTTACAAAGTAAATGAAGGCAGACTCAAAATGAGATTTTACGGAGATTCATCAGCTACTTTAGTTCGTTACTCTAGAGATGATCAAAAAGGGCCAAAGTTCAGTGACTACGATCTACTTCACTTTTCAGTGGCTGAAAGTCAAAAAGCAAAGCTCTTAGATGATATGTTGAAAAAAAGTGTCGGTTTGCGCGGGAAAGTTGCTAAAACGCGGTACATGTTTGTTTTCACTTTTATACTTTAGAGTTAGCCAATTAATGTAATTATGAAGCTATACTTCGAAACTGCAGATCAAACCTTTATTACTTAGTTACATAACGTTAAATAAATGGATAAAAACTAAACTTAGAAAATTATATTTCAGACGACTCTACATGTTAGGCCAAACACGGATCCACGTAGACACAGTTACTGATTTAGGCGATTTCATGGAACTAGAAGTTGTTCTACAGCCTGAACAGACTGTTGCTGAAGGAGAACAAATTGCAAGATTATTGCAAGTGAAATTGGAAGTAAAAGATGAAGATTTGATTGATTGTGCTTATATGGATATGTTGGAGGAGAAACAATGATTTATTATACAAATACTTAAAATTATGTTGTTTAAAATATTATTACATCAGATAAAAGATACATTTTCGAAACAGGCAAAGGCTGTGGATGAAAAATAATGAACCTGATATTTTATTAAAGTATAAGTAACAAGCATGGCTACGATGTTTTATTTCATTAATACTTTAGATTTGGTTAAATAAATAAACATGTTTTGGGAAAGAATCTGAGACTTACTACTCGACAATAGGTGGCGTTAGTAACATTTTATCATTTCGTTTCCCGCATTCTATGTATATGAAAGAGATAGCTGCTGTTTCTAATTGCATAAGTCTATCCTTTATAAATTCATCGAGTTCTGTAAAAATTGAGTAACTTAAGCGGTCCATTATAAACAAAGGCATTTTACGCAATGTTGTACGCATTTTATATAAATAGTTTTCTTATATAAAAATGGATGAAGAGACCTTTAAATGCTGGGCGTCTAGGCCAGACGCCTGTAGATGTTGTTTATCCGCGTGTGGCATATGGAATATCAACTTGGTTCGCGAATCAGAATTTGGGGTCAAAGAAATTTATTCGGATATGTTGCAGGAATGTTTCGATATTATTGTAAGTTTTTGCTTTTGCTTTCAGTTGTAAAGGTTAAACTAAGACTACATTATTGCCCTCATTACCAATATCATCATTTAACCTACATTATAATGATCGATCGCAAACCAAAGCTAATCTGCCGGTCGTGAATGAAGGCATTCCACAAGTTCCTTGAGTTGTTATTTATTTTCTGCAGGTTGTATCATCCTCTACTAACTGCTGCATCTGTTGTTTTTGTCATAACTGAGAAAGGAATTGGCTTCCGAAATCAAACAATCTTTCACTAATCTTCTTTGTTTACTTTTCTAAAATACGTATATATGAAGGGTGTTTGGCAGTTGGTCTGGACCAACAAATTTTTTTATAAGTTTGGCGGTTCATTTGCTAGCTTTTACCCGCTGACTCCATGTCATAAGTGTCACGGTAACAGAAATATGATTTTTTTTTTCAATAATTATACGAAATCTCGTTTTTATGTCGTAATAACTTTTATGTTTGTAGCTATAATAGCACTAAATAAATTTTGTTGTTTTCTGTAATGTACTGCTATTCTAAATAAATCATAATTTCACACAAATATTCTCAAACAAATTAATTGTGAGCTTTTAAAATTAAAAAAAATATATTATAGTATTACAAATATCAACTTCTAAATTAATTGAAACAAAAATTAAAAATGGTTTTGAAATAAACTTTATTTTAAAAACTTCTACTTAATACTCATTCCATCAATATATGTCATAAAAACTATTCAACTTCTGGTCAAAATAAAAGATGTTCCAAAAAAGGTTGTGCTAACTAAATGATGAATTACGTAATTAAATTAATAGATATTATAATGGAAGTGGAACTTAGTTTTTATTTTATTTGAAATTGCTTTTTCTGATAGATTACATTTAAGTAAACAGTTTTTGTGGTAATAAATTTTTCTCTAAATCTCATAGTTACTGAAAAAATTAATCCTTGGCCCTCTAGTAAATGAAAATTTACCGACTTATACCGAAACAAATTAGGGTAGGTTAGGGCCAACAGAAGAACCAACAGTGAGAACAGAATTTATGGCAATTCTAGTTGATTTCCTCAGTCTTCAGAGTTCTGGAAAAAAATTAATTGTAAAATAGTGTTCATTTAAATCCAATTTATCCGAAAGAAGCATTTAAAACAATTGAAGAGCTTTGGAACAAAAACCAATAAATTCAATAAATTTCGATTCTAATTTTGTCTAGTCTCATTGAACAAATTTGATTTTGATAGAGGATTTAGCGGTTGCTATTTAGGCTGGATGAATTATTCATAGAAACATACAAAACCTACCATTTAGGATTAAAAAAGAAGAATAGTTCAAAATGTGACTTATCACTTTTTGTTCTGATGCTCCTCAATTCTTTTATTTTTGATTTTATGCAAATACCACATATAACTTATTCACTCTGTGAGAGCTTTTTGATTAGGAGTTTGTTTAAACCATATGTTCCCAGATTTCTTGTCTCACTGCTCACTTAGTCAAGATAAAAATATTACAATGCCAAATACCACAAAAAGAAATTTAATTTTTTTTTATAATAACACAAAAAATTACAAGGAAAAAATTATATACATATATACATATTTGTAGGATTTTTTTTCAAACGCGGTAGCACCCCTGGACTACATCAATGCCCCCCCATTGCTTCCGAGACCCCTACACTAGGACTGTTCAGCACCCACTGGGACCACTTTGGCATACTATGGTCTAGAAGTACCTCTTAACTAAAAATACTTTAATTTTATTCAGCTGTCTGACTGCAATTCAGAGAAACTGGCATGTGAGATGTGCATTGCACGATTGAGAGATGCATTGGCATTCCGCAGGCAGATACTGCACGCTGAAGAGATATTCATTCAGTGTCGGGAAGGTAAGGTTCTATAGCAATTTTGACTGACCGTCTCACACTTATCTCTTAATTGAGTAAACAAACCTATATATCGTCAGTTAAAAGGTGAAACTTTCTATGTCGAATTTTGCTCAAAATGGCGTGTTTTCTATTTTTATTTCATTGGGAAGAACATCTACGAAAGAAAAATTTGAAATACGTAATGTCCTTCTTTATAAAACTGCATTTAGAAAAAAGTTAAAATAACATGGTACAATCATTGTAATCCATTTGCAGGGAAAACACAAAATCTTGATCTTCATTTGTCGATTTAGCTTTTTAGTGAGTTTTACCTTTAAACTGATGATATATAACCTATATATAAATTTAAAAAATTGTCCACTGTAATGTGAATCATAATTAGACGATAGAGATAACTGAGTAAAAAAAAACATTTTAAATAGTTTCTTATTTTTTACGTTAATAAACATTTAGAACTCTTTTGAAGCTGTAATCTGATAAAACTTACAACAATTGACATTTTACAATGTGTAGTTTAACTTAATTTTGTTGAATACAATAATTATAATAAAAGAATATCTTTAAAATCGTAAATAATTTTATAATACTGGTAACACAATTATGATTCATTATAAAGTTTGTTATAATTGATCGAACACAAACAAAAGTTACGTCGACCTGTCAGGACTCGTACCTGTGTTTGTGCGATACCAGTGCGACATTATAAAAGAATAAATATAACAAAGTAGTGGAGTAATTTCACAAAAATAAATGTATGTCATGGTAGTAAAACATCGTAACGTCTGCTTAAAGGTAAAACCACATATGTGACATTTTCCACAAAAATCTCCAAATTAAGTACCTGTTGTAAGAAAATCACCATCTTTCTGCATATAAAACTCTTATTGAGTTATAGCTTTTTTGTTAATGAGTTTCACCTGCAGAAAGATAGTGATTTTCTAACCATAGGTATATAAATTAAAGTCTTTATGGAAAATGCCATTTATGTGGTTTTAATTTTAAACAGATAATAATATTCATTTTAAGGAATATTATCATTTGTTTAAAATGAATTTAATGAATATTATCATCTGTTTCAAAAGTTTAGTTTCAAAAGTTAAAATGAATATTAAAACACTCAAAACTTTTGAAATAAATACAAGGCTGGTTTCATAGCTGTACGTGTTCGTACGGACTGTCCGCCCGCGTAGAATTCGTAGTGCTGTGGATCGAGTATTTAATTTTGGATATTCACGGAACACAGTCGCCTATAATGAACGCACGGGTGGCTTGTGCGGAGTTCACGCGGAGCGTGTTCCTTACGGAGCAATCCGCGTCACTGTAAATCAATGTTCTATCGCCACACGTGTTAAACTCCGCTCCGGCGCTCCGCACGGACGGTCGACAGAAAAATCCGCACTGCTCTGAAAGCAGCCTTACTTACCAATGTATGTCTTATGTTGTTCACTCATTATAGTATTTCCGTATCCTTGTATAATTTAACTGCACTATTATTAACTGAAAATTTTAATAGAAGGCTTATAATATTGCAGCGTCATCACATTTGCAAGAAATAAAGATGGAGGTTGATACATTCTATCCGGAAGGTTCCGGTAACAATCTAGATGCATTCAGTGACGGTAAGAACTTTTTTCTGGGCAAAATATGTGCTATGTTTTAATTAAAATATAAATTACAAAATACTTTGAGCTTTCACCTGAATTATTTAGAATGCAAGTATTGCAATTGTTCGTTATCACTCTTTATGTGAAGGCAGGCTTGTATTGGAGAAACAAATAAAGTGGCACCAAAGTAAAACTAGAAACGTGTATTCTTCCATCTTGTAATGCAAGTACAAAGAGTAAAAAAAAGTGGCACACACACGGGAAAATTATGAAGTTTCGTTTCGTTGGTATAGCTGAAGTAGCCAACTTTAATTATTTGTTGGAATTGCCAACACAACTGATCTACTAAACTAACGTTTAAGAGGCAATGTGTACTGCCCCTTAAATGAATTTGTGACTTTGTGAACTTACTATTTTGATATAGTTCATTCTAAGTCACATATAGTTAGATTCCGACTTACACGGAATACAGTTAATAAGTAATGAATATATCCCTATTTTTTAAATTTATTTCATTGATATTCCCATTCTCCCGTCGAAATATTAGAGATAGTAAACACAAATATTGTCAAAATTTGACATAATTGGTTGAAGACTGTACCACCTCAGTCAACCGTGACCATTGGACCTGTAAAGGGCCCGAAACGTCGGATTGTTTGAAAAAACAAATATACGCGATTTAAATCCGGAAAAATAGTTTCATTTCCTATGTGTAACAATCGCGAAAACCTAAGAACTCGATACATAATTTAATATTTAATTACCCATGAAATGTGATTCTGTTTGTTTTGTAATTAAATGTTTTGCTGTTTTTCCCACACCACCGAATGGAACAGCCCCCCATAGTTAGAGATATTATCTTTATTACAATAAATACAGAATATTTTTGGAATATACGGAGACGTACACACAGGTCAGTTGTTGACGCTGTATTATTTCAATTTTCTAATTTGTGATTTCAGCGCAAACAAGAGTTGATATTTAAAAGTGATACCATTTGACTGATGAGGGGATTTATTTCGTCTCTATTTCTGGCTACATACTCGATGCTTGATCCAAAGATCATTAACTTTTGCACGGCACGTTCTGCTACAAAACTTATACGTAATATATACGTATAAGTATAATATACTTATAAGTAAACTTATACCATTATAATAAAAATAGATAATTAAGCGATCGAGAAAGATTACGTATCGTTCGAGGGGTCGGGCCCGGTCGGGGTCACTGCCCCCGCGCGGTGCATACGATTTAACGGCAATTTTGCAAAACTTTATTAGACAATTAGTCAGAATATTGAACAGAATAAATTAATTTTTCTTAATCTTAAATATGGCGAGAATGCAAATCAACATACAGTATAGGTATTCGCTTGCTGCGTTAGACTGGCAAACGAAGCGCATACAAAACGGAATTAAATATTTTTTATTGCAGTTAAAATACAATACACTTAGGTATAATAGTAGTAGTAAGTTATGTGCAACAGGCAGCCATATTGTTATGTAGCAATTTCTTCCAGGTAACTTTAGGATAGACATTTGGGATATGCAAAACGGGTGCAAACAAAGAATATAAATACGCTACATAATAAGTAATAGTAAAAATATATAATTATGCAGAGGATTTCTGTGTTGCACTTTATGTAAAAGGTATAAAAATTCAAAAATTGTAACAAAAAATTTAATTATGTTTTAATTATTAATACAAAGATCGAACACTCAGAAAAAACACTCAGAAAAAATTCATTCGATCCGGTCGGATTCAAACCGACGTCTTCTTGCATACCGTGTCATCGTGTACTTGGTCTTGGAAAGACCAAGTACAAAGACGTTTTTAGTAGATCTTTGTATTAATAATTATAACAAACTAGTGGAGTAATTTCACAAAAAATAATTGAATATCAATTCAATAAAAATTTAATTAATTATGTTTATTGAATATCAGAATAAATAAATAAAATGTTTATTTCAGTATTACAATTAATTTGACATTAACAGTGGATGGTACCTCCTATTAAGCTTATCAAGCCTGTGTCAGGAGGCACCGCTTTTCCATAACTATAAATGCACATTGAACATTTTTAACTTATACTTAATTTGTTTAATTATTACATTTCCAAACATCTTCAAAACAAACAATTTTTTTTTCGTGTGTGTGTTAACCTGTTGCCATAGATTAGGAAAGTAGTGTTTTAAAGCAAGTGTTCTAATACATCTTCGGTTTCCTCATACGATTTCGACTGTAGCCATTTTGATATAACTTTCTTGATAATGTTTCACCACCATGTCGTTCAATTGTTTTTCGTGAAATTACTCCACTAGTTTGTTATAATACTAATACAAAGATTTCGAACACTTAGAAAAAAAATCCTTGGATCCGGCTGGATTCGAACCAATGTCTTCCAGCAAACCGTGTCAGGGGGTCTTATCTCGATCTCTATCCGATATCCGTATGAAACAATTACTATCAAATAAGCAATACTTGACCAAATGGAAAGACGCGTGATGCGAATGAAGCTTCATACTTGATATAGTTTTTTTTAATTTGGTTGAATATTGCGTATTTGACAGTAATTGTTTCTGACGGATGTCGGATAGAGATCGAGAGTAGACCCCCAGACGCTATACCAACTAAGCCACGGAACGAACCAGCGGACCTTACGAATTTTTCTATGTGTTTGTTGTCGTGTCTTTGTATTTGGTTTTTTCAACGATTTTTTAGCCGTAGCGCCATCTATGAGAAGTCTTAAGTATTTCGTTACACAGTTAGACACCTTTACAGCTACCAGCCCTGGCTAGAGATGTCACTATTAATTGTATTTAAATGTTTATTGAATTGATATTTAATTATTCTTATGTAAAATTACTCCACTAGTTTGTTATAATTATTATTATAATACAAAGATCGAACACTCAGAAAAAAATCTTATAGTTTATTTTATTTTCATTGATATTTATTTATATTGCAACGGCATTTGTGATATAAAGCTCTGAGTGGCACTGCAACTGCTATGGATAGGCGTGTCGCGTACCACCAGGCGCACGACTTGTTCGTCCCGTCTCGTCTCTTGGAACGCCAGAACAGCACTTTTTTCTTTGACCGCTTCCTTCCTTTCCGCTTCCTTTGTGCTTGTTGCAGATCTTTGTTTTGTTTTTTTAACGATTTTTTTCCCGTAGAGCCTTCTAGATCTATGAGAACTCTTATACTAAATTTTTAACCGGCTTAAAAAAAATGGAGGAGGTTCTCAATACGACTGTATGTTTTTTGTGTTTGTATTTTACGCGATAACTCATATAAGTTTGTGAACCGGTTTTGATTATTTTTTTGTTGGAAAGCGGGTACCGCAGGAGTCTCTCTAAAAGCAAACTAGGGGACGAATGACTCTTTGAGGTCGGTTTTTTTTGGTATTCTGTACCAACTGGGTAACGAAAAACTTAAATTTCTCATACATGGCGCTACGGCTAAAAAGTCGTTGAAAAAACCAAATTTTTTTTATAATAGAAAGACATGACAACAAACACATAGAAAATTTCGTGAGGTCCGCTGGTTCGTTCCGTGGCTTAGTTGGTATAGCGTCTGGCACGGTAAGCTAGAAGACGTCGGGTCGAATCTGGCCGGATCGAAGGAATTTTTTCTGAGTGTTCGATCTTTGTATTAATAATTACTCTGTACTACGATTATATTTATTAATAACAGAACATAACATTAGAAATGCCTTAATTAATAGCACATTATTACAAAATTAATTAATTTTTCTTATAATATTTAATAATACTAAACCGACGACAGCAAAGAGTAACCAGTTGTCTGCAAATCACTATTTTACAGTAGAACTTAAAAACTTGACAGAATAAATTCTGAATATCCTTCAGATAATAGCTTTTATATTGCCTCATTGCTCAACATTTTAATAATTCATTTATTTACATCACAAAATATCAAATTTTTACTTTCACAACGCTGTAAAATCGTGATTGTCCAAATGATCTAACCGATTATTCTCTGCTGTCGCCGAATTAGTAATCAGAGTTCCAAAGGACAACCTGTAAAAAAATACGCAACTGTCATTACAGATGACAACAAGGACGAGTTATTCTACACAGAAGACGATCCTATCAAAACGGAACCGGAAATGGAATGCAAAAGAAAATTAAAAAAAGCACAGAGTAAAAAACCGAAAACAGCGAAAAAGAGAACCAAGTCTGACATAAAAGATAAGAAGGCAGCAAAAAAAGTCAAACTTTCCGAAGTAAATAGGCAGAGTAAAAATTTAGAAGAGTCCACTTGTGATATACAAGGACATGTTATTGCAGACACAAGGAAAACTGAAACTGCACAAAAACGTGAGTGCTTATATCGTTTTTTTTGTTTTAAAGGCTTGACAAGGTACATTTCGCACCCTCAATAAAGTGACGTAATTCAAGTAAATTGAATTTTGAGAAACTGACAAAATAGATTTAAAAAAGTACATGGCACCCCTCTCATATGTCATTTCTATAAATTATATATAAAAACAATATAATATTAATTCTATTTTGTTGGGTGGCGACCCTAGTGACCGACAAGCTCATTTATTCGATACTTTTTTTAATTTCTTTTTTTGATGTATTAAGTGATGGGACGAACGAGTCGTGCGCCAGATGGTAAGCGGTACGCTAGTCCATAACAGTTGCAGTGCCACTTGAGCTTTAAATCTCAAAGATTTGAGAGGCACTGCCACTGCGCCCGTCACCCTGAGACTTAAGTTGAAAAGTCCCATGTGCCTGTAATTTCACCAGCACCCCTGCTACTATTAACTGCTTGGCGGCAGAAATAGATAAGCCGGCAGTACTTCCCTGGACGAACTCTTTCCCAAGGAGCTCTACTGCATCATATTTGTAATACGATTTAGGACAAAATTTTGTACACGTTTGTTATTGGTAAGTGTCAGTTACTGGGTGTTCATTATAGGCGAGTGTCGATTTCTGGTTAGTTAATTACTGGATTTTTGGTGTTAATTATTGGAGATTTGGAGAAATTCTAGTTTAGATTTTTGAGTAATAATTATAAAAGCTTTTTTAAAGCATACCACAGCATAAACTAATCACTATTGATATATGTTTAAAAACAAAAAAGTTTTTTTGATATTGAAAGACACACGTCCCTTAAAATATCGGTAATTGGTGCGATAACTCTACTTTTTTTAAATTGTAAAATAATATTTCTGCACCATGTCTCTCCACGTAATTTCTAGGAAGTCAAGATACAATTTGTGGATCTTGTAAAACACTCCATAACTGAACCTACAAAATGTGACTTAATATTCTTAATGTTCAATATTTATCTAAAATTATATCTACTTAGTATCTCTTTTATTTATGGTACTACTCTAATCATAAAATTTTGTTTATATACATTTTACTGTCATACAAAGCAACAATTTTAATTATTAAAAATAGAAATAAAAAATACACACAAAAAATATAATTCATTAAATTTAGCAGACAAATAGAACCTGTTTGTCACTCCATTTCGGAAAAATCTTTTCTTTTTTCGTTTGATTCAAAACATTATTTATTTCGATTTGAATCACTTTATTATTGCGCGTGCGAATTGGACCTTCTTCGGGAATTAAAAAATAAAACTAGTTGTACAGTCGCGTGCAATGAATTTATACGTTCACTTATTTTCGAAAATTTGTAAACATTAGATATTTCAAAAATATGTAACCTTGTGCTGTTTTAAAAAATATGTAATCACGACATCGTTTCAAAAATTGTATACTTTTATTTCAAAGAAAAGTAAACAAACTACAACCTGTGAAAAGTATACACTCCTGGTGTTAAATATGTATCCATATCATTTTCATAAATATTTATACAATGCATTTGCACTAAAATGTAAACAATTAGGATGGTCATTTTATAATAAATATGTATCCACTTTAAAACTACGAAATTTGTTAGATTTTAGTAATATTTGCATCGTCTTCAAAAATATGTATACACAATGTAGTTGCTATTTATAATGTAAACATACGCGTCGATTGCAACCCTTTTGTGCGTATTTTGCTAGCTCGGGCGGCAACAATGTCAGTGTTATTCGGTTAAACTACCCTCAACTTTTTTTGTTGCCATTTATAAGTGAACGGTACACTATATCCATTTGTCTATGTGGTGCAGCGCAAGTGACATATAAGTATTTTCCGAGTTATCCAAATAAATTATTTGCGGACACGATGAGTAGTACTACTCATAATAATTCTATTGTGCCTTATCGTATAAGTTCACATGAAAAGCATAAAATAATAATTTTGAAAGAGCAGGGGCGCTCAGCTACGGATATTGCCAACGAAATAGGAATAACAGTAAGTATTTTATGAGTATTCTATCGATAAGTTCTACCTCTTTGCTATGCATTTTTAAGTACGTCTTGAAATAAAATTAAAAAATAATAGAAATAAGTTTCATGTCCTGATTTTCGTTAAATAAAAATGAATTTGTGAGTGTAAATACCATAAATATAAAATTAAAAATGCTTATTTCTGTGTTTTTTCGGTATCTGACGATATATTATTATTCGTTATACCGGATGGAAAATAACGACGGTCCCGGCCGAAATTCTCATTTTAAGACCTTACATACACGCGTTTTAATTAGTATAAATGTAAAATCAAAGCACGCGAAAAATTGTCATCAAAATGATGATTTTATGTGTTTGGACAACCCTAACGCGAATGATGCAGTACGTATTTCAAACGTTTAATTGGCATGCACTCTAAGCAAATATCTTTACATCTTGTTCCATTGCGCTGCTACTATTGCTATTGAACAAAAATTCATATGAGATAGCGCTATAATGTTACAAACTATCTCTTTGCTTCACGGTTTTAAGGTTTCTTACGTTAAAAATTTAACATTTATATAGAAATAAGAGCGCGTTACCGCAAATGTTATTGCATTATTTGTTTTACTACCTTTTTCGTAGACGTCACGTTTTTGTCGCAAGAGAGCGATATAACATTTTGCAATTATCACACTTAATACAATCTGTGTCTGTCAAAACAACGAGTTTCATTGGATGCTATTTATACATCTAAAGAAATTCTTTGTTTTGACAATGTTAATGTTCTCTATACGCATTATTATAATAATATATACTAAATAAATACCTTTTATATTTACTTTGCAACAAAATGTTAAGATTTAACTTCTTCTTCTTCTTCTTTTAAATGTTATGGCCCCATCGAAATAATCAATGATTTTGCCAATGTCAAGTAAAAAAAACTATGTACGGTAGTTTAATATTATTATAAAAATTATACAAAAAAAATGGCGATATAATGAAAGCCAAAAAAATGATTACAATTAATAAAATCACAACTTGATTTTGCAAAGCTTTGTACTATTATTATACCCAACAACTGCACATACACGGCACATATATTTATTTTCTAAATACAAGATTATTGAAAATTTGCCTAATTTACAATAATCTTGTATTTGTATACATTTTATTGAAAATGCATAGTATTAAATATATATGAAAATGATATGGATATTTAACACCAGGAGTGTATACTTTTCAAAGGTCGTACTTTGTTTACTTTTCTTTGAAATAAAAGTATACAATTTTTAAAACGACACAACATACATATTTTTGAAAACAGCACAAGGTTACATATTTATGAAATATCTAATGTTTACAAATTTTAGAAAATAGTGAACGTATACATTTCATTGCACGCAACTGTACATGGGCACTGAAAACAAAATTAGTACGTATTTCCAGTCTGCATGCACTCATTCCAACTGCAACAGGTCTGCAAAAAAATATTTATGATCTGTTGTTAACCGATTTTTATCTAGACTTTTGGTGGTGATTTCTAGAATTAAATAGATTTTTTTCTATGAAGTTAGGTATGTCTGTATGATAAGGGAAACTTTTATGAAAAATTAACAAAAACCACAAAGGAAACTTTTATGAAAAATTGACACAATTAACAAATTTGATTTTCACATTGACAAGTTAACAAAGAAAGTTTATAATTATGGTGTGTCCGTACACGCTCGGATTGTTTCATTTTCATTTGATCTTCTGTATATCTTCGTCTAAAGAAATAACTCAAGAGGGCTGCTAATCGCGGTACAAGAAAGCCTAGTTGGGTATTTAGTACCTATTGGTACTACAGATGTCGCGGCGAGTGCTAAATAGCTATTTTTGTAACTGATTTGTTTTACATTGACAAGCTGCAATTTATCAAAGCTACTCTTATTTCTAGTTATAACAAACATATCCATTAGATGGCGCTTATTGAATACATTTTTATGGATAGTGCCGGCTATTTTTTTTTTGTTTGCGATTAGAGCCATCACAATGCCATCTGTTGATACGCATATTTGTTTAAATTCAGAAAATAATTTTAGTATTACAGGGGAAAAAAACGTACTTTTTATATTGCATATTAAAGAGGAATTAATGGATGTCCACTGCCGTATAAATAATATAAACAACTTACTTATTTTGACGATGATGATTTGACGAAGATGGCGCTGATCGATTGCCGGAAATAGTTTATATTGTGTAAATGCCAGTGGATATCCATTAATTCCTTTAAGGGTGGTAAATGAGGCGACGAATCCGGTTTGTTGATTATTATTTTTAGGATGGCTTCATTAGTAGCAGAATCTATATCTATAATAACGCACATATTCAAAATAGCCCCGCACTAGGGAAACCCTGTGTCGCAGGTGCCATGGACACACACATAGACAACCACAAATTACACCCAAACTCACGAGAGAAATAAATGTAGGCCATACAAATTTTCTCCCGGCCCGGGAATCGAACCTGGGACCTCTATGGCAGTCTATGGTAACAAATCGGCCACCGAGGCAGTTAAAATAAATATTAGACCCTATCATGGCTCTAGTCAGCATTCTGATGTCATTTCTGACTAATGACTAAAGATTATCTACAGCAGGGTTTGTTCACCTATGGTCCATGGACCCCTAAGGGGTCCGTGTAATGAACGCGATAAAGTCCATGGCGAGTATCTTTTCGGAAAGTGTCCGTGGGCTCTTTGAAATTTTGTGAAGGGTCCATGACTAGAAAAAGGGTAAGAAACCCTGATCTACAATGTTTATTGTACGCTATGAAGGTTTTTGAATGCTCAAGGCTCTTACTTTGTAGCCAGATGTCTCGGGAGACATGTGTGCTCTGATTTTGCAGAGTGAGATTTGCCAGGCTGTTTGCTATCCCTATAAAAGCTTTGGGATCAATAAAGGCCTGCCTTGCCTAGCTGCACGGCCTTTGTCAGCTCTATTACCACCATACCTATTTCTGCCGCCGAGCAGCAATGCGAGCATTGCTTCGTTCCGGTCTTTAAGACTGAGGGCACTGATGACTACAAGCACATGGAACTTGTCAACTTTGTGTCTCAGGGTGTCATATTAGTTTGAAAAGGACAATGTTCATTTACATTTGATATTGTACACCTAAACATAATTTAACAACATATTCTTGCATATTCGACGCTTTACCACCTTAAGGGCACATTTATTCCACACGAATTTCATTGCGCTCACTTCACGCGGTCGGTCGATGAGCCGACTGCGTACGTCTGTCATTTCAGAGAAATTCAAATGTTGTTGCCTAGTAAATAGAATTTAGATTCACATGAAGGCGTGGTAACTGGCCAGTCGCCGTGAGGCGACGAAAACTTTTGCCACGTGTAACTGGGCGCTTAGGGAACTTTTGCGTGTAGGCAACGGCGGTTACTAGCTCTTTGTCTCTAGATTACACGTGTTTCGAACTTATTGATGCGATACCTGACCGCTGCGTGCTGGAATCTATCTCTACTTTTTACCTTGTGCTGGTTTATGTAGTATACATTTATTACAAAAAAACAGAAGGTTTTCACAAAAAGAAAGGATCTACAAATTAAGAAACTACAATCTCTGCTTGCAAAAGCTGAAGTGGGAGTGGGAAGGCTTCAACTAACAGTACGTTCTATAAAATAACTCCCTAGAATTGGGAATAAATAATACTACTGTTAGTAATTTAGAATATTATCATTTTCACTCAGGCATATTTGTGTGTTTAATATTCTTTTTGCGTGTTTTTAACCATTATTATGGGGTATGGAAGAATATCGGCTAGTATTAACATACTCCATAGCCCTTTGTAGCTGAACCTTGACCATTTTAACACGTTTCTTTATTATTAATTTATATTTCCATTTTTATAATTTTATTCAGTGTCAAATAAAATTATTTTATTTCATGTTTTCGGTTAAATACAATTATGAATGTATAATTAGATTTACGTTATATACGTACGCTGTTTCCGTATGGTATTTCCATAACGACCTATTCCATAAAAAATGTTGGCAAAATTCATTTTCAATTTCTCCACTTCCTATGACGCTCTGGTCGACCTTTGCCTACTTATCGGGTAAAATCGAAAATTAGTTCCCTAATTGTTGCGTTTATTTATAAGTGGAATTCTTTATTTTTAGGGCCCCCACAAACGGTGCAACCAAAACAAATATCCGAACGCAAGCGAGTCATTGTAACGTGCGAAAACGTCCTTAGAGAGACCACAGCGTGCCCTTTCCGCCATCACAAAAGCTGGTTCCAATGTTTCTTCTGTTCCGAAGACTTTATGGATATAGAATCACTTAAAAATCACAATAAAACCACACACAACGACATGGAAAACGAATTAAAAGCAATGAAACGGTACCCGCGCTCGTTACAAATTGACATTTCGAATCTCGAATGCCGGAAATGCCGCGTAAATTTGACAGACGTCGATAATATGAGACGCCATCTTGAAAATGTACACAAGAAATTAATTTTCAATGAATGCATAGCAGACTATAAAGTTAATTCTAGTCCTTATACGTGCCATTTGTGTTCTCAACAATTTCACGTGTTCAGAACGTTGACGACGCATCTGAACGAGCATTATGCTAACTGCATATGCGACGTATGCGGCCGCTCATTTATAAATTCAAAAAGGCTGAAAGTTCACAAAAGGACGCATGAAAAGGGCATATTTCCCTGCACCGAATGCGGCAAAATACTTAAAACAAAGACTTCTAAATTAAATCATATAGAAAGCGCTCATTCTAAAAGAATTATCAAGTGCCAAATATGCTTTAAGCCTATGAAACATTATAACGACCGAATAAAACATATGTCTGAGGTTCATGACATAACGCACAAGTTTAAATGCCACATATGCTTCAAAGAGTATAATGTAAAACATTATTTAGCGACGCATATGCGGCAAACTCACGGAAATAAGAACAAAAAATGCCACGAATGTGACATGGCGTTTGTGACCAATCATGGACTGAAAAAGCATATGACAAAGCACACAGGGGAGAAGGCGTATAAATGCACCATATGTGGGAAAGCATATGCCAGGAATTATACTTTGAGGGAGCATATGCGTGCGCATGAGGGGATCTCGTGCAATGATTAATATATTTTTAGAATTTTTTGTATGAATTGATGTTAATTATTTATGTTAGTAAATTAAAATTCTAGTCTTAGTTTGGTTTAAAAAAATCTGTAAGTGAAACTAAATGTGATTATTTTGTACTTATACTATTGTTAGAAAAGTTTTAGCATATTTTTTAATATTTAAATTACCAAAACATACAATCAATTAACGTGTTGCTGTCCTTTGCGAGCCGTCAAAGAGTCAAAGAGATTGTCATAGACACCTCAAATGTTCAGAACCACAAACTAAGTAAAGTGCCCCATTCGTTAGTCAACATGTCATGCGACATTTTGACGTCTAATCTCGATGTCTATAGGGTTATCTATGCTTAATAGATGCCAACGCCCTCTATCGCAAAGTACTAGATTAATGGTGTAATTCCAACGAGCTGTATTGCGACTACATCGAAACGGACAACTTTAGCTGTTGTAAGTGACGATGCAGTCGCATCAACTATTTCAGTGTGACCACCACTCCTTAAGTGGCGCTGTTGTAGCTAATTCTCAAATGTACTGATTTGCTCCATCACTGCTTGTATAACAAGACTTGTGAATAATAAAATTTCAAAAAGATGCGGTATGCTAAAATGTTTTTTTAAATTGTAGTCAAGAGACGTTACTTACGGAGCGCCACCTGGAATTAGCTTTCAAAGCCTGGTCACATTTACATGTAAACTTATAAATGTTGCAATACTTAATAATAAATATGCCCCATACAGATTTCTTTTTTTTTTATGTTTTAACTTAACTATTTATAATTCTATTTACAGAGCCACGCATCAGACTGAAACGCCGCAACGGCGTTCTAAAACGGCCAAAATTCACCACAAAAATGTCGGCTGAAAGCTACGAAGACAATCGACAGTTACGTTCAAATATAATTCTAATTTTAAAAAATTCCACAGTTCTTCCTTTCAAATTTCGGGGGCAAAAATTCCACTGTTTCTACTGCACAGAACATTACTTCCAATATACGGATTTAAAACAGCATACATTAATAAATCATTCGAATTTAACTGAAAAAGATATAATGCTAAGCCTCAAACAACCTAAAAGTTTAATCAACGCCGATGTCAGCGAAATAAAATGTCAATTGTGTGATAAAAACATAAAAAATATAGAAGAGCTGGTCGGCCATTTTGTTACCGCGCACAAAAAAGTTTACTTCGAATCTGACAGGTTGCGCCCTTCGCATGGAATTTTAGGTTTCGACTTAAGTACAGATAAATATAAATGCGCTATTTGCAAATCAGAATTTGATTTTTTCAAATGTTTGACGTCACATATGAACGTCCATAGCAACGACTTCATATGCCCTAGTTGCGGAAAATCTTTCGTATCCGACGTAAGGTTACAAGGTCACGTGATGCGGAGTCACAACATAACCGATGATGACAGAACCTGCAAGATATGTATTAAAACGTTCTCAACAAGAGGCCGTAAAGACTATCATATGAAAACGGTGCACACAAATTCTAAATTAAAGTGCTCCGAGTGCGACGAAACTTTCTCGAACAGAATGTTAAGATTAAAGCATTTAGCCGAAATACACAAGTTCGAGATGCCAAAATACGAATGTAATGTATGTATGAAAGAGTTTGCGAGTCGTGGATGCTTGTTGACCCACACTAAATCCATACATTTGAAGGATAAGGCGTATACGTGTGAGATTTGTAACAAGAGCTACTTTCGAAGATCGGTTTGGAAGAGACATTTGAAAGGACATTATGATAAGAGTTAGGAACAGTCGGATTCTTAGGTTTCTGCGATTACTACACATTAGGAATGAAGTTGTTTTTTCTGGATCTAAATAGCGTATATTTGTTTTTTTCTAAACAAACCAATGTTTCAGGCTGTATAGGCCCCATTGTCACTACTTACTGTTATATATTAGTTCTCAGCGCCCACTGACGGGACGATTCAGCAGGAGACCCTTTTTATTTTTTTTATATATTTATTGCTTATGATCACAAGTGATGAGACATCTTGTTTATAATATAGCAATTTATTAATTTCGTTAATAAAATAAACTTTAATTGTTTTGTAATTACAAAATAAAGAATGATTATACTAATAAAAATGCACTTATTTCCTTGATCCTTCAGGTAGATCCCTTATTTACTAACATCTTCCAGAATATTTTTTCAATAAGTTTCACCTATTTATTTGGATAGGCAAATGTTCTTCCATACAGCCTCTTCATTGCAGTATCCTTGTTTACAGTGACAGTTTACCCTAAGCTGTGACTATACTGCCTGTCATATAAGGGGCCCACTAATTATCCAGCATTGCAGTCCGCCAAGTAATGCAGGATTGTGTAGTCGCAGCGGGCAATTAATTCCCGATGGGAAGTTCTCTTTTTGATATCGCGCGTAAATTTGGCATATTGATTCGAAAGTTAACCGATACCCGCAAGAAATTCAACGGAACTGACGACGGACTACAGAGCAGCTTCTACCTGTGCGACGGACTTTCATCCTAGTTGTGAATAAGCCACTTTATGTAGCGACATAAAATGAGCTCATTTTATTTCTATTAAAATAAAAGTTCTGATAAATAAATTAACCAAGGTTGTTTCTGTTTCATTTTCGCAATTGAAATATGCTCGATTCCAATTCCTGTGTACCCATTAACCTTTGATTTTAATTTCTACGTTTGGTAAAAATGTTAAAAACTTCTCTAGCATGATTCTTAAGATTTACTGATAAAATTATTTATTCATGGAACAATTGATATTAAATCTTAAAAGGAGCCCTTTTAAGAATTTAATATCTATATTATTAAAACATATTTGGGGGTGCTCATTACGAATACAGCACTTATTTTTAAATCCAAGATGGCGGACACGATTTTTCGAAAAAATGCAATATTAGTATTCTTTTCGAGGTATTGTAGGTGCTCATTACGAATATGGCACTCATTTCTAAATCCAAGATGGCGGGTACGATTTTTCGAATAATGGCAAGTTGGGTATCATTTTCAAGGTATTTGGGGGAGCTCATTATGAATATAGCGTTTATTTCTAAATCCAAGATGGTGGACACGAGTTTTCAAATAAATGCAATATGGGTATTCTTTTCGAGGTATTTGGGGGTGCTCATTACAAATATGGCACTCATTTCTAAATCCAAGATGGCGGGCACGATTTTTCAAGAAAATGCTATACGGGTATCATTTTCGAGGTATTTGGGGATGCTCAATGTGAATATGGCACTATTTGTAAATCCAAGATGGCGGGCACGATTTTTCGAATAATGGCAAGTTGAGTATTGTTTTCGAGGTATTTGGGGGTGCTCATTACGAATATTGCTTTTGTTTGAACTGTCGTGTCTGCCATCTTGGATTTAGAAATGAGTGCCATATTCGTATTGAACATCCCCAAATATCTCGAAAACGATACCCAACTTGCAATTATTCGAAAAATCGTGCCCGCCATCTTGGATTTAGAAATGAGTGCCATATTCGTATTGAGCATCCCCAAATACCTCGAAAAGGATACCCATATAGCATTTTGTGAAAAATCGTGTCCGCCATCTTGGATTTACAAATAAGTGCTATATTCGTAATGAGCACCCCCAAATATCTCGAAAACAATACCAAACTTGCCATTATTCGAAAAATCGCGCCCGCCATCTTGGATTTCGAAATGAGTGCCATATTCGTAATGAGCATCCTCAAATACCTCGAAAAGGATACTAATATTGCATTTTTTTGAAAAATCGTGTCCGCCATCTTGGATTTAGAAATAAGTGCTGTATTCGTAATGAGCACCCCCAAATACCTCGTAAACGATACCGAGAATCAAAATCAAAATAATCTTTATTTCATAGGTAAGCATTATTAACTTGAAATCGTCACATTGCATTGGTTAAACTCTACCGCTCATTCGTAAGGCAGATTCCCCCGAGAAGTTGAGCAAGAAACTCTAGGTGTTGCTCTTTGTAAACAACTACACCCATCGCGATATTGCCTATTCTCAAAAAATTAGGTAATATAATTATTTGGAAACAGAATAGCAAAATTGGGAGAAAGAAATTCGTTACTTTGCAACATTTTCGGGTCTTGTTGCTACGGAATAAATTTTCGGTTTTAGTGAATATTTATTTAAAAATACAAGTTGAAACGCGTTACTTCCTTGTGGAATGTAATGTTACTATCTATTTTATGTTTGTCTGACGTATTTTTACACTCATTTACCGCACATTTCGTCATTTTTAGCTAAAATTCTTGAGCTGTTCGCGGTGCAAGTTGACCTTGAGCACTGACGGCCCGCCCGCTTGTGTAGGCCCACTGGGAGCGCTTCAATTTGCCTCACTTACCGTGTGCGGACTAGGTTTCTATACGTTATTATTCTAAAGCTGTAACAATAAAAAGGTATATATAGAAAAACAGGTACATTACTATAAAACACTTCCTAACTTGATGGATTTAAGGAGTTATTCATGTAGGGTCGTATTCCAGAACTCTACTCAATACTCAAGTCAGGACTTGAGTATTGCTGTGAGCACTGAAAATCATACTCAAGTCCCTGCCATTAGGGTCGTATTTCCAGTGCGTGTGTTGCCAGTGCAATCCTGACTTGAGCATTGAGTAGAGTTCTAGAATACGACCCGTAGACACTTACCCCTAAATAGGGCCGAGTTATACTGAATTACAGATACGTATTCATAGGTGACATGGTCACATGATAAGGCAGTAGACTGTTATACACTTATTAAGTTTGACATATGATTTAGATTATATTATAATGATTATAAGTTGGTAAAAGAATCAAAATTAGATGCGATTAAATTTAAACAGCTCCGTCCGCTGTCGCGATCGAGTAGGGAGTGACGATAGAACGAAACAAAATCAGAATGTGAGGCAAAAGAATGGAACAATTTAAATTTAAATACGAATGGCCAGGAATCGGAGAAAGGCGATAAAAAGATGCGATGACGATGCATTTCGCTCTGCCGCCGCATAGACGGAATTCAAGCCAGACTCGCCCGCGTGCCCGGGGCGCTCATTTAAGTTAAAACGTAAATACTAAACATATAGTGCATATTTTGCTGTGTGCAGCGGCAACGCGGACTTCGCTCTTCGACCGCGTAAGCGCGATGAAATTCGTGCCGAATAAATGCGCCCTTAGAGGACAAACAAGAATTGGGACTTATGAAGTATTAGAGAAGAACATCACCAACTTATTTTTTGTCATTGTTCAAAAGAAAAAACGTATTTTTTACTTCTTTATTAGCATTATTTTTTTGTCGATTTACAGCGCCATCGAGAGTCGAATAGCAGAAAGTTTTACACTTGCGGTTTCTATAGTACCACTGAACAATGCATTGTATGTTAATGTATCCGAATACCTTATTTTCTATTAAAAAAATAATGTCAAATGAAAACAAATGTATAATGGCGGCCAAAGTGAGCTTCGTTTTGCAAATTATTTGTTTTTCTCGAGAAAGTACGTGAGAACTAAACAGTTAATGTTGTTAATTTGTTACTTAAGTATTATAGTAGTGTAATTTTATTTTTCGTATACAATGTCGCTGAAAACTTTAAAGGTAGAGAAGGATTTATGTCGCTGTTGTCATGCAGAGGGGAAATTTCAGAAATTGTCGGAACCTCTTTTGCATTTAGGTAGACTGGAAGATTATGCCCAAATGATGCGAAGCTGTTTGAATGTAGAAGTGAGTTTTTGTATTTACTTTCACGTACATTTTGTAAAATTTTGAATTTAATGATTGCGTGCTTTGGTATACAACTTTTGCCTATTTTCTTATTCACTTGTTTTTATTTGAAAAACTAATTCTATGTAAAATTTTTAAATAAATATTATTTGTGCTAAGTAAACTACGTTGGATTCAAATTGCGCATATTGTACAGTTATTGTTGCGTAGCACAGACCATTGCAAGAATTTGGGGCATGTGGTAAGGTACAAAAGTTTTCTTATGCTTTATTTAGTTAGGCTACTGAAAATAGTAAATTTATATGCACCATACTTTGAACACAAAGCTCAAAGGAGATGTATTCGGGCTATATACAGTTTGAAAACAACAGATGTCAACCACATTTAAAAAAAATAGAAAATACGAGTCTCCGTTCTCACATATATTTCAAAATTTCTCTTTTTGTAAAGCGTCATCATAATTTTGACTCATCTGTAGAACAAAGACCTATGTGCAAGACTGCTTATTCTCAGGACATTGTACATTTTGTTTGCTGCCCTTGGCTGAGGATATCTGATCAATCGTTGATAGATTTTATTAAATATTTCTGAAATGAAATAATTCATAAAATTCTGAAAACACCTATAGCTAGGCCTTATTTTGAATAACAAGATTATGCATTTATCCTCTTTTCGCTGTATAATCACGTGGGACTCTGTTCTTCAGATGAGTCGATTTATTTCAATTCATCACACACATGTGCCATTTTTATCAACTGAAGACTAGATCATTTAAAACTGCTCTACTTCAATAGAGTGTAATAATAATGGCTACAAACTTCCACATGCAATTAGGAATTGCAATGGTTGTGCAGAATTTAGGAAATTATTATTTAATTACTGGAATGATATGACATTCTACAATAATGAAGATAACTTTATAAAATTTACTTTTCATATTACTTATTAAATCTTTTATTGTTGTATTCTACCATATCTGATTAGAGTTATGTTATAATTACTAATACCAAGACGCTATACCAACTAAAGCTTAGTTGGTATAGCATCTGGCAAGGTAAGCTAGAAGACGTCGGTTCGAATCCGGCCGGATCAAAGGAATTTTTTCTCAGTTCTTTGTATTAATAATTATAACAAACTAGTGGAGTACTCTCACAAAAAAAGAAATTGAATATCAATTCAATAATAATTTAAAATACAGTGAATAGCGACATCTCTCGCCAGGACTGGTAGCTGTAAAGGTACTAACTGGGTGACAAATCTTTCATAGATTTGTCATAGATGGCGCTACGACTGAAAAGTCCTTGAAAAACGAAATACAAAGATACAACGCAAGCACATAGAAAAATTCTTCTGAAAAATTTTCTGAGTGTTCGATCATTGTATTAATAATTATAACAAACTAGTGGAGTACTTCAAAAAAAAAAAATTGAATTTCAATTCAATAAAACTTTAAAATAGAATTATGCTGTTAATACAAACTAAATTGCTGTATAAATTATATGGCAATTAATTACATCTTGCCCAAAGCTGACAAATTATATAAAACTTAAGAAAACTTTGTATGCCACAAGGCAGTGCTTAGTGGTAATCACAATAGATCTGCTAATAGTTACAGTGATGACATATGCCCCGATTGAAGCCACCCTAACAATGATAATAATAATGCCACAAGATGGAGCACAGTGATTCATAATTTGTTCTTGTAACAACTTTATAGCCTGTGTACATTGACTTACAAATAAATGGACGACGGGTCTAATACAAAAACCACGAAAAAAATGTCCCAAGTCAACCTATTTAAACATAGTGACATGTAAAGGAATATGAAAAAGCTAAAACGTTGAATTTAAATTGTAATGTCATCGCAGTACTGTCTAATTTTCTTGCTTCGCTGTCAGTCGGACAAACGAAGACTAAAGCGTGAATGACGCTCTGTATACGATTTTAACGCTCTATAAGTTCGGACACTTTTTAGCGCGGACCCGACGTCCTTATAATTGTAAGTCAATGCCTGTGTATAACAAAAATATAAATAAATATATATAACACGAAATATATATAATAAAACAAGAGTCAGAAACACTTTTAAACTTCAAACAGCCATATCTCGAAAGTGACTAGATGTGGATTGGATCCTTTTTGTTTAACTACGTCCAATTTAAAACATGGCTGCTATTATGCAACCATAGTTAGACAGCTGAGAGGCGTCTGTATAAATAGAAGTCCAGTATTGAACCAACAATTTACATCAAAACTGACACTGGCCCAAACCTAATGGCCGCCATTAAGGAAGTAATATATAAAGTATAGGAATGCTCAAAATAAAAATAGAAGTTGTATTCTTTCTCTTATCATATTAATAGCATACACTACACTTCCGGACACATAATTCGAGCCACCACGCATTTTCAGTATTAAGTGCCCTAAGCTTAAACAATGTTTGATTGATCACAAACGATTATGCAATTTTGAAACTAGTGTACTAAACGTCTTTTCCATAAGTCCTTGTTGGGAATTTAGATTTGCAAAACCGGGGAAAACTTTTTCTTCAATGATAACACTATTTTTGTTTTCTAGCCATTTACGATAAAAATGCGATGTGGCTCCCTATTATGTGTCTGGGAGTATATTATGCTTGCCACATTGCGGTTAATGGATTTGTCAATAGACGTAATGTACTCGCTGACTGTTGCACAAGATGCGTACCATGCGTACAGGAAATGAGTACCTCGTGTGAGAAGGCTCCTATCATGCATCCCAAAGTTGTATTGAAGAATCACCTACATTACAGTATAATTTATTGCACGTTACAGCTATCCCCTGTCCAAGGAGTACTAGCTGCGTCTACATACACTATTTGCAATGAGTGCATACAAAGGTTACGAGATGCAAATAACTTCAGACAGCAAGTTTTTTTGTGTGAGGAACGCTTCAAGTACATGTATTGCGAGTTTCTTAATAGTAAGTTGAAATGGTTGTGTAAATAATAACATCTGAGAAATTGATTTTATTCAATGAACACTTTTATTAACTACATAGTGTTACTAATGATTTTGGTAAAAATTTTTTGAAGCACCAGCACGCTATGTTGGCCGTTTTGACGTTTGTCCGCTCATCAAGTTTCGTATTAATTCATAACTACGCTGAAGGAGCTAATTGCAGCACATTGTTGTCAATAGTGACTTGCAGTAAAAGTTATGCAAACAAGAACCAACCCACACCTCGAGTGAAATTGAGTTATGTATTTAGGTAGAACACCAGATGTGTCCTTTATCCGATCACAAAAGATCCTGACAGTATACCAAGCCAAAACGGAGAAAATAAATGTCCTTCAGGATACCAACCCTAAATAAGTAACAAGATCCATGCTGCTTAACTTCGTATAATGTATTTTTTTAAATATGCTAAATGGATCCATGTCACATGTACTGAAGTATTGTAGATTCATTACGAAAACGTAATGTGTTCTATTTATTGCTATATAATATAATAGTTTCCCTATATCATTCTCAATGCTACACATAACTCACGTTGTTTGTCTCAAATAACTTACCTATTTATTTCTTCACACTGTTTTTACAACAGTCTAATTTTCTCGAAAGTGACATTTTGTGGGTTCGTTCTAGTTTGCATAACTATGTCCAACTCGAAATTTTTCAAAAAGGAAATCTAAAGGACTATTCACATTAGACAGTGCCGGGCGCAAGCCGAGACACGTACGAGGCTCGGATTGGAAATGCTTCGTACAATTTATATGAAGTGATTCACATTACAACGTGTCGTGTCCGTGATACGGACGAGAGCCGCCCGAGCTGCTTCCGAGCTCGTCCGAGTCTCGGATGCGGCCCGACCCGCCTCGGCGCGTCACTGTCGACTCTGTCTAATTTAAGATCGTGCGGCACGTACGGGGCTCGAATGACTCCATTGAGCCATAAATAGAGACGAAATAAGGGCCATATATTCCCGGTAACACATTAGCGACACAGCTCTTATAAATATCAACTCTCGTTTGCACTGTAATATAGACAGGTCAACTACTGGCCTGTGTGTAGGTACGTCTCCGTATATTCCAAAAAATATTCTGTATTTATTGTAATAAAGATAATCTCTAACAATGCCGTGCTGTTCTATTCAGTGGTGTGGAAAAAACAGCAAAACATCTAGTTACAAAACAAACGGAATCGCATTTCATCGGTAATTAAATATGAAATATGTAATTTTGCAATTTTCGTCCATTATAGCAAAGCTCAAGTTAAGTGGTCTTTTTGAAGTGAAACAGTTGACGACACCCATTGACGACACCCGTCAATTGTTTTGAACTCGGGCTAGCCAATCGGAGCGCAGTTGTCACAGTAATGATATGGCAGAATAGTTTTCAAACAAATTAAATGACATTTCATCTCTATTTCTGGTTATATACTCGATGGATGACTCGGATACGGCTCGCGCCCAGAACGGTCTAATGTGAATCATCCTTAATACGATCGTTACTTATGGGATCGCTGGCCAGCACAATTTCTACCTCCGGCAAACTCGCGTCAAAGCTCAATGCAAAACAAAGCTGTTTCGAATATACCATATAATGAAGTAAACATTTTTATTTTCGTTTCATTAAAACTTTTTAATCAACTACTCCTTGCAATACTAGATATAAATCTAAAAGCTTATAGATGCGCTCGCACTTCATTATATATTTTTTTTCGTAATGAATTGAGATTTGACCTCACTATTGTAATCTGTCAAAACGGCCGTCATAGCTTGTCGGTACTGTATTAAATTAGTGTGTTCTGGGTTCTAGGCTACGCAATATGAGTTTTATTTACTTGAATTTTTTAAATCTTTGTTGCAGGTGAAGAAGTAGTGAAACTGGAGTTGTCAAGTGACGATGGTAATTGTTTTTCCTTCTTCTTAATTGAATGGTTTTCTAAAATGGAATTTCTCAATCTGATTGAGAAATTCCATTTACAAAGCGAGCATACACAGATAGTGACTGTTAAAACATGCAAATCTACACATGCATTTATTTGTTGCTGAATATTTCTGTGTTACCACGGACTTGTATATTAAACTGGACCGCGCACTAAATTAATAAAACGAGCCGAGTGGCTTCAAAGTAGTAATGCGTCTATTTCTAATAGGGTGTTCATTCATTTTTCAGACATCCATATTGTTTTTAACTTTTTAGTTTTTACAGAAAATGTGTCCGCTTACGGATGACCAAAACTAATAATATTATTTCATAATGCAAGTTGGTATACTTATTTGATTATCAACAATGAAACCTATTATGGAGTAGCACATAATAGGTTTCATTGTTGATATTTTTTTTGTATTATTACAGTAAGCATATTACCTTTAAGCTAATTTTATTTATGCAAAATTTAAAAAGTGAATAGGCTAGACACTTCCTAAGATGATTTTATTTAGCGTTGGCAACTTGTTAGACAAGGACAGACCACTAATTCGAGCTATCTCGCGTGACTCGGTTTTTTACTTTTACTTAAAATAAACCTTAACATAACCCAATAAGGTGTAAATTTGTAATATTGGTATATCAAAGTGAGCGTTCTACGACTGAGGACTGTACCATAGAATAGAAATGACGGATCATCCAATTCTGAAATGAATAAATGATTTATCACTGATAAATGACAACTGTCTGACCTAGTATGAGTCTAAGTGCTCTATAAGTATTTTATCGTGTAGTATTAGTATCTTTCCAAATTTAATTGATAGAATTCTCGTGAATATGGGTCGTTTTCAGATAACCTCAAAAAATGTGTCTCTTTCAATAACTTTTATATTATTACATGAATGCTAAGCATTATTTATTCAATATGATTGATTGTTTACTTAGTCTGTGTTACACATAAAAAGATTACTTTACTACGCCACAGTAATAAATGAAAATTATAAAATTGGATAATTTCTCATTCATGAGAGCTGGTTCCACGCCTCCCTAATTTGAAGAAAAGAAGAAAAAAAATTAAACACTCCTGAAAATCGCAATATTTCCCATTGAGGATAAACTCTTAATAACTTTCTCGTGGAATACATACCGCAACTTTCCAATTTATTATAAACAACTATGTTTTCTTGGGAATACAAAATGTGTTTAAATTTTTCTTATCATTAGTGTTAATTCAAGCGAAAACCTCCTGATTACAAAAGTTCATACTGTCACCTTCATCCTTCGCACACATGAGAAGGGGTTCCTGTCGGATTAGTGTGTACACAGTGAAGTAACCTTGACATCTCCATTTTAGCAAAAAATCGACTTAAATACCAATTTCAGCGCTAGTGACTAAATCGTTTTCATTCATGTAAAGCAATCTATCTAAATAAGTATTAAGTAATAGTCTTATGAAGTTTATTTTAGACAAAGGAAACTTTAAAATCCATGCACTCTTATAACGGTCCCGCATATTTTACGACCTTCACAACTAAAAATGTATCCAAATATCATTCTTGTCGTTCTCATTCTTGTCTACTTTGAAGTCAAATAGTTATTTTAAACCAGACATTTACTTTAAATATAACAATTAGATGGTGATAATGGTGGTGATGATAGTTTTGCTGATGATGACGGTGATGATGATGGTAGTGGTTATGGTTATGGTAATCGTGATGTAAATGGTAATGATGCTGATGATTATGGTGATCATGATGATGATGATGGTGATGAGGATGCTATGATGTACAATAAAGTTTATATGACTTTAACAAAATACTTGATTTATTGGAGGACCTTGCACGGATAAGAAGGATTTTGATACAAGAAGTGATATTAAAATATTTTTTACATGTTAAAAATTCTTTTGTGAACGATAAATGTGGGTTGTAATAATACTTTCTCATTACTGTGCCGTGTTTCTCATTTATGTTTATGAGAAAATCATTCGCGTTACTGCAATGTCATTCGTGTGACCTAAAATATGTTTTTGTGTTGCATTTCACTTAAATATTTCTGTGATTTAATAATTATTGACATTGTTTGAACCTATTTGTTCGTTTAAGACGGTTACCTATCAATAGTCCGAAATGACTACATTTTTCAGAAATAACGTTTGTTCGAAATTTCATAACCTCGAAAGTAATTTTGAGAGGAAAATGTTTTTTCTTTTAAACCTAACCGAACCTAACCGAACCTAAACGTGTCTTTGCGATAAACATCCAACATGTCCTGAAAGAACAACGGTTTCATTATAATTCGGTTTTCGGTGTATAATGAAAATTCGAACAAACGTTATTTCGGTTAAAAAAATTCGAATTTGTGATAAGTTACCGTTTAAGACCTTAAAACCAAAAGAAAAAAGGGTTTTACAAAAATCACTCAAAAAGTGCCATTGAAATTCGGAAAGTGAACCCGCATACTTTTTTTCATTTCAGAAGTTAAAGTAGAGTTTCTCCAAGATGACGACGACAGGTTGGACATCCGGTTTGATAACTGTAGGTATTTAGTTATTTAGCCATTACACGTAACGTATTTGAATATGATGGGAATGACTACTTTTCTATATTTCACGATTTTCTTTACCACCACATACGTAACACAACATCTCTTCATACGTTGCTCTGATCCCAAAGTAAATAACAGCAAGTAAATAATAGCAATGGTGTTATGGAAGTCTCAAACAACAACACAATACACACAATATAGAAAAGTTAATTTCTCCACATTGACACAGACGGGGATCTAACCCGGGATCTTAGAAATGGCGACACCATGAAAACCGGTGTGCACGTTCTCGACCACGTAGGTGATAGATACTACATTGTATTTTTCATTGCTATGTTTTAAATAAATTTTTAAAGTCGCTTATACGTTCCAGCTGACGACGAACCAGTGATACAAGTGAAAGAAGAAGAATCCAAAAAGACCAAGACCAAACCGAAGCCCAAATCGAAACCTAAGTCCAAGAAACCAGCTGGAGTCCAGAATAGTTCAAATAGTTCGAAAAAAGGTAAGGAAAAACTTATTGTTTTTTTTTTCACGATTTTTGTTACTACTGTGATATTTGTATATTTTTTGTGCAATAACTTCTAGTTTTTATGATTATTAATTCAAACATAATACTGTACACAACTGTAGCGACGAGGCACCTTGTATGGTGAACGTATGTACATATATTTATTTCTATGTTCGTTTTGTGTTAAAATGATGGTGTATCTTTCAATAAATAAATAATTAAGCACAAAGAAAAGTCAAAGTAACATTTTTACACTTGAAATCGTCATATTTTAAGTTACTACGCGTTCACTACGCTGGCCTCCCTGAGGAGAACGAGCGAGAAACTCTAGGGATTGCTCTTTTCAAATAAACTTAAATGCTATAGATACATTTTGAATCATATTTGTGTGGAATCTAGACTCACGTTGTCTTTCCATACATGTTTATCTAACACGTAGTCTACAATTTTGTAATAAGACTTTTCAATTAAAATACTTTCAATGTAAGTTTTCAACTTAGGGAATGGTAAACTTAATATATGCTCCAGAATGTTATTGTAAAAACGTATACAGTTCCCCATAAAAGAATCCGCGTCATCTATATATAAAACGGAATTCTGATCTTTTTTAACCGACTTCAAAAAAGGAGGAGGTTCTGAATTCGACTGTATGTTCTTTTTTTTCTTTTTCTTTTTGTTTGTATGTATGTTAAGCGATAACTCCGGTATTTGTGAACCGATTGTCATGATTCTTTTTTGTTGGAAAGGGGGTACATCCATAGTGGTCCCATTTCATTTTGAAGAAAATTATCCAACTCGAAGGGTCACGCATGAAGATTAATTTTTATAAATAGCGCCTAACTTTAATTTAGGAGCAATTACTTTAATGGTTGTTTTTGCTAATTCTCCAATTCAAGGCGCTTTTCTCTCAATATACTTTCAGTAGTGTCGTAGTGAGAACCGATTTTTATTATCTCCAGTGTCAAGTCCTGTATAGTGGCGAACTAGGGGATATTTCAATAAAACTTAGCAAATAGACGTAATTCCACGTACTTTTGAGGTCGGTTTTTTTAGTACTCTGTACTGAGATTATCAGAGTGACGATTTGTAGTATAGAGATTAACAATCCTCTTGACTTATTGGTCATGTTAATGATATGTATACTTGCTGTAGTTGTAGAACTCCTTTTGTATACAAATGTTTAGCGTATTAGCAGTAGAGATCCTTGTGAAAAAGTTCGTCTAGGGAAGCCTAACCTCTCTTTGTTAACGGGGGGAATTCTTCGAAAGCTACTCGGCGTCTCTGGGGGGAAACGCCGGATTATGTGGGAATTTTTACCCACTAAAACCTCCCCGGTGGCCTTCCTTCTTGCATGTTCAGAGGCTCCGGGATCTCTAATGACCGTTACCGGTGCCTCCTACGCACTACGCCTTCTTGGGGTCTGGCTCTTACACCGTGCAACCACCACACTATGCTGAATCGCTGTTTATATGGTCTTCCAGAGCCCCCACAACGGGCGTCCACGACTCCAAGGTCCCCTTTTAGTCGCCTTTTACGACAGGCAAGGAATACCGTAGCCTTATTCTCAGGGTCGTATTCCAGAACTCTACTCAACGCTCAAGTCAGGACTTGAGTATGATTTCAAGCACTGGAAATACGACCCTAATGGCAAGGACTTGAGCATAATTTCTAATGCTTAGACCCAGTACTACAGGGTTAAGTTAGGGATAAGTTAGAGAAGCCTAACCTAACCTTACCTATTTTTGTCGCCAAGCAGTAATAATATAAACATTACTTTCCGATTTTGAAATTACAGGCACAGGGGATTTGTCAACTAATGTATCAGGGTGACGGGCGCAGTGGCGGTGCCCCTTAGATCTTTGCGGTTTAAAGCTCGGAGTGGCACTGCAACTGTTATGGACAGGCGTGTTACTTAAGAGTCGATACCATCTCAGCTTGAATTAGTAATACAGTTCATGTTGCTTGGGGCGAGCGGCTGGGGCATTGGCTTTATTTCAGAATATTTTATTTTTACAAACCAATTTAAAGCCATTTGATAAACGTATATCGTATACTATACGTATTATATTTAGTTCAGTTGAAATAAAAAAGAAATCATTGGTATATGTAAAGCACCTATTGAATACACGGGTTTTCTTGTAAAATTTCGAGGTAAGTTTGCTTTCCCTAATCCCGTTTTCACACCGTATAGTAATCAGTCTATGTCCTCAATTTTACTATATATTTTTTCAAATTGATTGATTCAACACTTTGACTGTAATGCGGAACCAACCAAAGCCATTTGAGGTTGTATAGGCTCTTAACACTAGGCGCACTACTTGTTCGTCCTGTCACTTGACATAATAAAAAAAATATCTGGGCGATTTGAAAACGCGTGTTTAACTTTTGGCATCAGAACTTAGCCTTAACCGGATTTTTACTTCTAGGCATCCGTCCGTGGCAAAAATTCGTACCAAATGAAACGGACTATACGAAAGGCGATTCAAATACTTTAATTTGTTCCAAATGTTCGAAGATATTCAAGACCAAATCCGCACTTTGTCTTCATCTCAAGACAGTTCATTATAAAATACCTCGCTTTTTCTGTTCCAATTGCGAAGAAATATATGGTACGAAAACGCAGTTGGTTATACACAAATTGAACCAACACGATATTGACGAGAGAGTCAGATGCGATGAGTGTAATTCCGTTTTTAACACAAAAAGATTACTGACCAGGCACCGAGAAGCGAACCACGTTGCAAGAAAGAAACTGAATTGTAATTTCTGTTATTTTGAGGCGTATTTTCGAAACGATTCACATAGGCAGCTTGCCGAGAACACTTTGAAGTATCACGTGGTTAAATATCACTCTAATGCCGAAGAAGTAAGCGATATTAGTTTATAATGACAAAGTTTTGAACAATAGTTACGTTACAGACTATTTTCTAGATTGTGGGCATGGTTCAAATTGATAAACACCGAGCGGAATTGAGAGAATTAATTTAGAAACTAAGAGCCAATGCACACGGCGTATCGTAAACGCGCGTTATCTGCTCTGCGCGTACACGCACGCGCCGTAAACGTCATCTGCGTGTACGTATCGCGCATTTTGATAAGAGATAGTTGTAATTTTAATTTTGTTTGTTAATTTCAGTCAGTTTTTTTTAAAGAAGTATTGAGTTTATTACCAGAAATAGAGACGAAATATCATTCAATTTGTTTGAAAACTAATCTGCCATATCATTACTGTGACAACTGTGCTGCAATTGGCCAGCCCGAATTCGAAACAATTGACGGGTGTCGTCAATTGTTTCACTTAAATTGACCAGTTTAACGAGAGCTTTGTAATAACGGACGAAAATTGCAAAATTACATATTTAATATTTAACTACCGATTATAGCGGACTGTATCAATGGGTTAAAGGTTGGGTGCTAACAACGAGTGAGCAAGCCCAAGTAAGTGTACTTACAGTCAAATTATTTTATTACAAAACACGTATGTCGCTATCAAAGCAAAACAGCAAAGACAAATCACCAAAAGGCGCCAAAAACAATCACGTTTAAATTTAGAATTTAAGTGTAAAACTAAAACTTAAAGAGACTATAAAATATATACAAAAGAGATTTATAGCGCCTGCTGCGATTCACTACACCTATGAAATGTGATTCCGTTTGTTTCGTAATTAGATGTTTTTCCCACACCACCGAATGGCACGCCATTGTTAGAGATCTTTATTACAATAAATACAGAATATTTTTGGAATATGCGGAGACGTACACACAGGTCAGTTGGTGGCGCTGTACTATTTCAGTTTTCTAATTTGTCATTGCAGCGCAAACGAGAGTTGATATTTTAAAGTGATATAAGGCTCATTTGCCTGATGCGTTGCCAGGGATGGGTAGCCCTTATTTCGTCTCTATTCCTGGTTATATACTAAGGTAGCGAAATAATTGCGTTCGTTCGATTCCTTGCTGTATCGTTGTTACTAAAGCTTTACTTATGAAATTAATGTATAAGATACTTAACACGGCGTAAAAACGTCACGGAAGGTCATCAGTTTTTGAGTAATAACAAAACTACATCTTTTCTATAACGTATACTCCGTACATTTTCCAAATGTGTATTTGTTTTAATAATACCTATTAGGATTATATATATATAGGAGGAGGAAGGAAATACCTAAATTCACAGGCGGTCCGCTTACGTCCTGAGGATCTACTTTCGTCCGACATCCGTCCGAAACGATTACTGTCAAATAAATAATACTCGACCAAATAATTAGACAATTTCAAGGATGAAGCTTCATTCGCATCAGGCGTCTTTTAATTTGCTTGAGTACTTATTTGTGATTGTAGTAAGAAGTGTAGGAAGTGATGAGTAGTAATTGTTTCGGACGGATGTTGGACGGAAAACAAGAGCACAGGCGGGCTACTCTCGATCTCCGTCTGACATCCGTCCGAAACAATTACTGTCAAATAAGTAATATTCGACAAAATTAAAAGACAAGTATCCAGTATGAAGCTTCATTCCCATCACGCGTCTTTTCATTTGGTCAAGTATTGCTTATTTGGCAGTAATTGTTTCGGACGGATGTCGGACGAAGATCGAGAGTTGACCCCCAGGGTCTGCTTCGACCGTCTCTTCGAGTCTTCGAGCAGCTTTAAGCAAGTATGCGACACACACATATACAAGAAGCGCATGGAATACCTAAAATCAATTAGCGCCAGAAGCTCGATGCCCTCCTAAATGTTATGGCCATTAAAAAAACTGACAAGAGTCAACATACCTCACTGCTATAATACATTGATGTTGTAACTCAAAATGTATGAAATTCAAGATTATACTATTTATTACTGAACGTAAAATTTTAATCTCTACACGTCAATACAACCGTCGTTAGAATATTGTGAAAAACAAACAAACGGTATCTCCTTAACTCGAAATGAGACAAACTTTTTGTGAACTAAGGAACTAAGGAATTATTATGTGGCTCAAGTCCCTATCATAAAAACAATGGCAGCTGGTATTCAGTATGTTAGCCGATCGGCCTATTTATATAACAAAATCAATAGAGAATTACATATGTACAAACAAAACTTTTTTGAATGTAAATGTCTTGTAGCTACAAGACATTTACATTCAAAAAAGTGGTTGAAATCTGTTGGATATGAAGAAGTTGAGAAACTTTTGATATGTACAAAATAATATCCTCAGAAGTTCCTACTACACAAACACATATAATCTACACTTAGGAATATATTTGCATGATATTTACTGTCAAATTACACCTTAATATTAATTTAAATGTTATTGTATACAATAAATGACAAATAACACTTTAACTTTAATTTAACTAATTCAAGACAAAACAGTCGTTACTCAAAGTAGGAAATTATTTTGATGTCTGTAATAAATTGTAACCTATACATAAATTTTAATAATCTTTCACAGGTAGTGAATAATTCGTTTTTCACCATTCTGAAAAAACACACTTTTTGAGGCAATAAACTGTTATATTAACAGTGCTATATATTGGACTGTTTACAAAATAAACAGTAAAAATAGAAATTTTATATGCATTGATGACGAAATAGGTAACAATTTGGGTAAATTAACTCCCTCAACTCCGATCACTGTAATAAAACAATAGAAAAGTTCTTTCTAATAACCATACAAATACGACAGAATTTATAACTGTTATTTTTTTGGTTACCGGTATGCTATAACTACGTGAATTTTGGTTTAATATTTTCACGCACATAACCTTCTTAACAGACTCCTTCGGACATTGGTTAATGTCTCCATTGGTGGGTTAAAATGCCTGTGCTAGATATATTTTTATACGTCTAAGGAGTATTAAAAATAAATAAATTATAAAATAAAATTATAGTAATTGCAAAGCAATATTTGGTTATATGTTTTCCGTTTTATTTATTTAGCGAAAAGAAAATTGCTTTATTTAAAAGAACTTGACGGCATAAGAGCTCTTTGAGCGATGTTACGTATAAAAGTTCTTTATAACAAAAAATACAAATTATTTATGTAAAAAAGTTTTATGCGTAACATTTATCGCTGAAAGAACTTTTCTGAACTCAAGTATATGTTACGCATAAAAGTTCTTCATAACAAAAATAAAGCAAAACAGGCTTTTCAAAGGAAAACCTCTTGCTTTAGCAGTTTTTTTAAGAATCTCTTAAAAAAATGTAAAGATAACCTAATTTTGTAAAGATATCGGGAATATTTTATGTTAATAAACAACTATGAATTGTTGATTTAGTTTTTAATAAAAATTGCTAAATTTTTCCATAACATCACTAGAACGTGATCTTATTGTAAAATATGAAGGGTCCAATGTCTAAACTGTTAATCTGATTGTGCTTGTAGACTGTATTTCATAGGCAATAACGATGAAAATTAAAAACCATTACATTTAGAAGTAATGACTTTTATTTAAACGTTAAATTTAATCATTACGTAAAGGCGTAGAACACAGAACAATAAATAGAGTAGAAGTGTCTACGTTGCGTGATACGTGTGCCAACAGTTCGCGGAGTTCCGAAAACTTGAGCTCAGTCCGCCATTTTCGCTTTGTATATCTGGTCCGTCCCAAAAGTATCGAACATTTTTCAGGAAAAATACTTTTATTGAACTTATCGGTACCATACATTAGTACTC